CCTCACAATAATCCACAATTGCATTCACCGATGCCACACTTGTCTCTTCACATCAGCCCAGCCAAATAATATACTATGCCTGAAGCCTGTTTACGTGAAAGGTGTGAGAACAAAATGGTTCATAGGTCACTGAAGTGATGGAAGAACTAAGTCCAACTTGTTCCAGTCTCTAGGAAATAGTTCTGTCAGCAAGCTAGCAAGCAGGGTCTTCAGTAACCTTGAGCAGAGCCAGTACCTGTTCACAAACCTGCACTAGAAGTCATTCTAACAAAAGATGAGAGAAAACATCTGTTTTTGTGGACAGAATATGACTGTACAGTGGAAAAACATACTACTCTGAGGTCATAGTTTGAGGATGAAAAAAAATAGTTGGCAACAACCCTGATGTAAGCTGTTTCCATTGCCTCCCGCTGTTCATTTCTGCCCCAGAGACACAACACCCACCCACTCAATTGTGCCATCTCAACTGTTTGTGGATACACACTGTGAACTGCATCAGGAAACTCATCTAGCAGTGCGATTTAAGAATAAGCCCTTCACCACCCCCCAGTGTTTTTGCAGAAGTGTTTTTCAAGTAAAGTAAAAATTGCTTAAGACACTACTGCAGCTTAATGCTTTCTGCTCAAAAACATGTTCTGAGTTCATTTATTTTCTTTCTCCAACTATAACGCGATTCGATGTAGCTAAAATAAGGGTGAAAAACATCCTCCAGCTCTAGTTCAATGTAAGACCACATGTATTTCCATAGAAGCAAGAAAAGACAGAAATTTAAACAAAGATATTTTGTGCAAGTTTCTTGGTAATCCAGCTTACCATCCTATGTGTACTGTATTTACAAAATCTCCTGTGACATAACGTAGACACAGTGTTAATGCTTTCTGGATGACAGCAGTACAATAGCGTGCCAACTGAATTGTCTCCTTAACTCTATACCCAAGACATCAGTGTCAGAGTTAATACCTACAAGCAGGGATACTTCCTCTGCAACTCTGCAAACTGCATTTATCTGCTCATAGCCCTAAGACAAAGATGCCAGATTGCCTACACTGGAGCTCAAAGAGCGCAACGAATTTTGATTATGTATGATTTTTTCCACATATGATTTTCATAGGCAGGTTTGTTTTAATTGAGTAAATTTGAAATACAAAGCTTGTAAATGAAAACAAATATCCTTTTTATCCTGTCACATTAAGAGTAACACCCCAAAAAGCATTTGGGGAAGAATGCATATTATTTGGCAAACCAGAATGTTTAAAAGGCATCTTACTCTGCGTGAAAAGGCAGTACTTCTTCCTGAAAGAACTTCCTGGCACTCTCCCTGAAGATATCATGATCTGATGAGAAGATCCTCCGAGTTCCTATATCAATCAAACTTTTAGCAGAAGACGGTTCTGGGCGCTTTGGGCCATGCTGTTCAGTTTGCAGAGGACTGAAAAAAGACAAGTGAAAGCATCTGTTAGGACACAGGCACCCCCATTTACACAACCCTTTTAAAAGAAAGGAAACACCTGTGTTGTTAAACATAGTTCACATCCCAAGTCTAGCACACTGTTAGGTCCAAAGGATACCCACGATAAATATGAAGACCTAACACACACTGTACTTCACTGGGCTGTGAAAGGAGATAAAGCAAGACTGGTTTATCCAGTCAAGACTGTCCTTAATGCTTCAAATAAATTAAAAATAATAATAAATATTATTTATTTATAAATAAATAAAAACAACAATACATACATAGGTAAGAGGATAAAGTTTGTTCATTAGAGATGCTAAAAATCATCACTGCCTTCTCCCCCCACCACACAACCTCCAAAATGCTATTCAGCTCAATTTAAACTGGAGGTAACTTTTTGAACAAGTAAACTTTTTTGTGGGTTTTGTTCATTCTGTACATGCCCCCAAAAGCCTCAATATTGCAAATCCATGACACTGAAAATTCACACACTCAAAAGCGAGTACAACATGGATTTGCACACTCTGAGGGCCATATTATAGCATATATAGATATTATATATGCATTTTCACATATATCTGCATAGTTCTAACCTTGAAATTAATACTTTCTAATTCCTTCTAACTTTCAGTATTTTTGTTGTACAGGAAGGCTAAACCTTCCAAAACTCTGATAAAAACATATGTAAAAATAAAATGCTTCTTTCACAAAAAATGAAAACTGAAGCAGTGGTACATGTCAGTAGTTGAAACCACACGGAAAGTATAACTACAAAATAACAAGGAAGGGTTTAAAGCTTTTGTAGGGATTTAGAATGTCAAGGAATACTTTAGGGCTGAAATGAAAATTCACTTCTTATATTCGTGCATTGGGTTCTCTGACTTGCTTTTATGTTATTGCCACAAAACATCAGAAATTATAAATACAGAGCTGAGCTATATTAAATGGAAAAGGCTTTTACTGTTCCTTTCTCAAACTATTTTGTTCATCTCTCCTCAGTTTCTCAGCACAGCACAGTAGTTGTACGTAGTCCCACAGAGCTTAGCTGAGCTGAGCATACGCTTATTTACTCCATTACAGAGACAAAGGTCTTTATTTACTGCCACATGAAGTTATTCATGCTCTTCCTGGTGCAAAAGATTAGGTGCCCCTGAAACATAGACTCTATTTACTTCTAGTAATATTTGGAAGAAATGGGCTACTGCAACTTGCTTGTTCAATATTTTGTACTCTCAAACACGGGCTTCCTCTGCTAGGCACACACTGACTCTCCCAAAAGCTCCACCTTATTTTTAAAGCTGTTTAAGATGATATTGAGCTTTATTTAAGACCACCCTTTTGTTTAATTGGAGCTCATAGCCCGCATGGCACACAGGGAAGGGCCAGGCGGCTCCTTCACGCCAACCACAGCCCTAGGAGACACAACTCGAAGGTCAGAGGAGGCGTAAGCACGCTCCTGCGTTTCTGCCCCCCGAAAACCCCCCTCCCC